TTGATGCCGCTTGTTGGGCTCATGGGAAAATGACACGTTATAATTAATATCGTTATTTCTGTTGTCAAACCCGACATTATTCTTTCTGTTCTTTTTCCGGAGACAAATATTAGCTTGATGATAATACACATATAGTCAGGACTCCTTTTTATCCCCAGACAGAAGGAGAACAAGCATCGAGCTCACTAAAGCAAACATTGCTATGTCACAAACAATTGAAAATTCCCGCATGTTTTAGCACAAACAACAGCGCCTGGATTTTTCTTATTATTCTTGTAAAACAAATACCAATGAAACCCATGAGTTGGACAAGTATTCAGAATAGGTCACAGTAGCTGGAAGAAAAGGAGCAAATTTTTCATAGAATCTATCTGCTTTCTGTCTTGTCTATGCAGGTGTATTGGTATAAAAGAAGACTACCGGTTAACTTTTATTGGCCAGTGCCTAAGCGGCTGACGTATTAACTGAGGGTGATAGAATTTCGTCTTTCTCATCGACATGTACATTTCTCTACCCGGATTCATCGTTCTGTAAAAACGTATAGTTGCAAGTTACAACTGACAGTGGAGTACCTAGGACCGTAATCGATTTTGGATGTACCTTTCAATCTGATCTGCTTCCCTCTACTGTTTGTTTTACTTAAGTCTATAAGTTTTCAGCAATTTCTCATCATCCTTTGTCCATGTTTAGAAACACCTTTCGTTTGAATTGGGGTGATGTAGACCGTGCGAAATTCAAACCGATTTTATGCTCTCGGCGGATGCATGTGTACTAACGTTTCTCATCTAACGCGGTAGTAAATAACGCATGCTGCCCGATTTATCGGCCAAGAATAGGACTTTGGAATAGGTGAGATATATGGGTCCATTAAGGTTCAGTGATGCGCGCGTTTACATCTGGGACTGGAGTAGCAGATGAACTTCCCTATAGGTTACTATCGAGTGGAGGATCCGGAAGTTTAAGATACTGAATGCGCCTGAAAATCTCAGGGCAAATTCAGTATCTGGAAACAATGAGGTTGTTCGGTTGAAATGAACATTTCTTTCACCAAGCTGATTTCCTCATGAAACCGGTATAAATTTTTGAATAGCGAATACCTAACTTACGACTCCCTAGTCAAAACAGCTCATAGTATTTTGCATTACTTTTTGAACCCTTCCGTTCAAAATTTTGTGAAATAAGCACGGTGGTGGTGGCTCCTTGGTCAGTGTCAGCAAATTACCATATTGAAGGACGTGGATTCGAACCCCACTACCATCACCACCACCACCACCACCACCACCACCACCACCACCACCACCACCAACGCGTCTAACTTTTCTCAACCCTTTGACAGACCACTTACACTTCCTAAAGATGGTGCCATTTTATATTCAATAAAATAAAGTGCAAGGGAAAAATGTAATTTAAAAGGACCTTTCATGAACCCTTTCGATAGGCAATGTTCAGTGCTTTTAAATTTTTAGTAAATAATGTGAAGGCCCACAAAGAGCATCGGACAGCTGTGCTTCCCTTTTTTCGACTCATCAGCAATGCGCACCATTTTATAGTCCTATCGGGACTGGAACCATAACTCTTCGGATTCAAATGTCCAAACCTTATCCTTGCATTGCACAGTCGACGGCTAACATAGTAGGCTCATGGTCAGATAGATGGAATACACATATGCACGCTACTGATTTGCCCCAGAAAGAAGGAAATAACTGTCCGCGGCTCTTTGTCGGTCTTCACCCACGGTTTTTGATAATTAAAACCTGGCAGGAATTCGGCGGAAATAAATGAAGTCTTGATTAGTACAACAAATAACGGACTGGGGAATAACACGAGAACATATGGTGAGAACTAATTCTAATGGTTGAGATGTAGGAGTGATAACCGTAAATGGGTATCAACTCCTGAAAATTCTAGCAGTCAGGTGGTATTTATCCTATCTGAATTATAGTTACGTCGATAAAGACGGTCTCTATTTCATTTCGCCTGTTCGCCGAGTTTGGCAATTTGTTTGCAAACGTTTCATCACCAGCCGAGGTGACATCATCAGTGCTTGTGAACTAGCAGTATTCTGTTTGAACAAGAACTGCAAGAACTGTTCAAAACACTATATCGAACAAACTAGAAGAAAACTGCCAACAAGGATCCGTGAACACCAATTGGCAGTCAGGAGACATGACCCACTATCCTTGATCTCCCTCCACGAAGATCAAGAAGGACATCAATTTCACTTTGAATCGACCAAGCCCGGTCAAAACACGGCAGATAATTTTTCGAGGTTGGGCACTCTTCAATGAACTCAATAAACAGGCACATCGAACTGGATCACGTGTACACACCAATGCAACTCAAGGATCAAATGACGCAACAAAAAAGGCCACGCCTTGAACGGAGAACGGATGGAAACCGCAATCAGGACCACCAGTTCAACGGCGAACCGAGTCGAACACAGTGAGAACGGGACGAAAATAATCGGTGGCGAAGAACACATGTAAACGAACGGGTACGAGCAGAATACTGCTAGTTCACAAGCATCGATGATGATGTCACCTCGATTGGTGATGAAACGTTTGCAAACAAATTGCCAATTACTCGGCGAACAGGCGAAATGGAATTCAGTTCACCCGATCTACGAGAACCAATTTTCAATATTTTATCAATGGTCTCTTTCACTAGTAGGATGATTACTCTACAATTTACTGGACATAATTTCACAATCGGATTTTAGCGAAAATCGGTTTCATTGCAGTTGTATTCCATACCCGATGACCGTCGATGCATAGTAGCAGGGGATCAAACAAATTGTGCTCCTAATCAGTCATTTGAGCGATGAGTGAAACTATCCGCTGAGAAACAAACACATTTATTCTTTGCAAGGTGTTATGTGAAATAGCGCGTGTGTGTGCTCTATCAATGGTTTTTCAAGGATGGCCCAACCGAAAGGGGCAAATGCTGCCTCGGTACGATGGACATAAGTTTACCACTCGACCGTCACGATTAAGTTGTGAAAATAAAGGAAGAGTGTTCTAAAGGAGCACTTCTTTGTGTGTGTGTGCACAAAGGTCTTTACGTGTGCGCGTGCGACAGTAAGAGTAGACGTGCGTGCTCGCGTGTGTATGTGCCTAGTTAGGCGCAAAACCGTACGTGTCTGCTTGGAGCATTCCCCAAGGACAAGAGAGCTATCGTTACATACTCCCAGTTGTCTACTCATTGTTTCGCTTTTTAGCTGAAATAAAAGTAATGAGAAACGTGAAGGAAGCTCTTGGTTCAGAACGGTCGGATAACGGTGTTGTCCGGAATAATCGTTGCGAAATGGTTTCAAACATATGTTTGTTTGGTATTGTCAACTCCTGGTGCACAAACATGGGACCCGGAATTGGACTCAGTTGTTCAATATGCTCGTGAAATGTAAGCGACACCCCTGCGGAATGCATTGCAGTTCCTGCATCAAGTATTTCTCGTCACCCATCGATCCGGAATTGTTTCAGCAGTCAAAATCTAGGCGTATTGTTGCTAGTTGTTCATACTCAGAATGGAAAATTTTGTGTAATCCGACATCAACCGAAAGAAATCTTTCATGTGATCCAGTATTTTGTGGAATAAGCTTGCAACCCGAATCCCGTGGATTGAGGGGGGGGGGAGGGGAGGGGGATAAACGCAACAACGTTACCATGTGAGGTATGGAATTTGAATTGAGTGATAGCGTAGCCCCTTTCACATAATACTATTCCGCCTCATAGAGATGGAGCAATTTCCGTTAACCACCAACTTATATCAGCCATGTTCAAATCACTCATGTGAGTCAAAATGCTGAAATCGACAAAACAAACGTATTAGCATCAGACGAGTGGGACCATTTCTATCTTTTGGAAGTTTTTGAATGCTAAGTGACTAATGCTAATTGATTCACACATTATTATATGTTACAGATTTCTGGATAGACGCGACTGAGCACTGGGAGGTGTATTTGTCAAGTTTATCAATTTGTTTGGTAACCGAAATTGTCTTACGCAACCCTATATAGATTGATGTACAAGAACGTTCCGAAGAGGTTGATCGTATTTCAATCTACTTGAGAGGTGTTCCTCCACTTAACCTGGGCACTTGGTAACGGAAGTGGTAGGCAGCTTAACAAAAGATTTTGATGCATGTGCAACTAACAAGATCTGTATTTTGGGCTTGCCCTCTTGGAGGTTAAGCAGCATTATTTCGCAAATAGTGATCGTGACGTGACATCAGACGCTTAACACCGATAGTTCAGTTGGACGCTGGGTATAAAAAAGCGCACTAAAGTCTATGTGTTTCGGTTCGTTCAGGCATCTGACAAGAGAATTGACTTTCGCGTGATCACCTATGCGTCCGATAATTGTAAGCTTCAAAACGTGCCTGGTCCTTTTCTGCAAGGTCGTTCGTTTTCTTTTCTTTTCAGTAATGCCTGTGCTTGTGCCATCCCCCAACATATAAAGTTATAAAATTCAAAACAACGCCAAAAGCAGTTAGGGATATCTAATCGCTGGTTATGCGCGCAACACAGCCGCTGCATCGGAAAGTGACACTATGGTAGAGTATTTAATGCGTTGTTTTGGAAAATTGACACATCTAGCTTCAAGATTTCGAGTATATTCGTGCAGGAATCTTGCTTTGGAAATTGAACATCGTGTGACAGTGAAGACAACTTGCTAATCCGGTTATTTCACGAAGCTTCTGTAATGACGCCTAAATTGTTGCTGTTATTAACATTGTTTTACAATACCTATTGGAATGCTATCATTTTGAGGAATACACTATGACAAATAAAGAAGAAATCGATCGATAAATGTTTTAAACCATTGCGGGCGCTTTCTACTTGAGTTATTTCATTATAAAAGAAAAGAACAAAATGAAAGACGGGCAAAAACCAAATGCTCCGTTGCAAATGATAATAAGTCAGCAGTTTCATTTCAAGTGCTTGTTTAAATCCGTGTTGTGTAATTGAAGCCCAAAGCAGTTCACAAAATATGCGCGAGCATTGCAAAGAACTCGTGTTTTTAGTTCTCCATGTGAGTGGAACATGTTTATTGTCAATCCCGTGGACAGGATTGATTTTCCTAAGATGACAGTAATAAAAGCCCATTCTTGTGAAAAAACAAAGTTGGTATCATAATCTAAACGAATAGTGAAATGAACAGCTTGTTTGAAAACATTTTTCTATCAATTCCGGTTTTGCCTGAGTCTGGAGAACTGTGAGTGACGGATACAGTAAATTACTTTTAACATTGAAATAAAAAATCAAACAAACATGAAACATTTGTGGCAAGTGTTTTTTACACTGACCCCGATCTGAGTGCTTTCAGTCCTTCTTCCACGGAAGATCGGTTGAATTTTCTCATATAGGCATTCATTTCAGGAAAATTTATCTTGATATTTTCCTCGGTCGCGCCGCTGGGAATGGTAGCGAAGCGGAACGGTGGTTTGACGTTCCACGGTTGTTGGAGCTATTCACGTCAAAAATCGGCATGATGATGTTGAGGTCGATTGCCAGAATGGCATACGGACAGAGATGATTACCGTGTGTTGCAGTTCGGTGCGGTTTGAAGGACCGAGTATGTGGGGTGGAGTGGGGTGGGTGAGTGAACAATGAGAAAATAAGCAGAATAAATGCGACGTGAATACAACCCATAGAAAGTGGGCGAACACAGAAACAATTGAATGACAGATCACTCATGGAAAATAAAATGAAAGGTCTTTTTTTATTATAGTGGCGGGTAAGAGAAGTAGGTATATATATTCTTGTCTCGAATCAACAAATGAGATTTGCGTTGCCTAATATATATATATATGTATATATGGATAGATAGATAGACAGCGAAATAGAGGGATTAGGTGTCATGTAAGAAAGATAACGGATTCAGTGTGTCAGCCCACGTCACATACCATCAAAATGGTCCGTTCTTAATGCAATCACGGGGGGAAAACAAAAACAGTCTATTTTTATTTTTCTGTACAACATCGTTCTGATAAAACAAACCAAATACGAACCATTGCATGACATAGACTGTAAAAAGAAAAGTGCTAAGTTTGTTGGCCATTGAAATTAGTTCACCGGTGTTTAAGTGCGTACGCGAAGAGCTCCTGAAAGGGTTTGTAACAACAAATATATTGGCCTTGCCTTTGGAGTGAAAAACTAAATTGGATTCAAAGAGCCCGCAGTGGTTTCACACAGGAGTGAAGCGGTATGTTTACATTCACTGTCAAATTGGTCTTATTGGGGAGTGCAATAATGCAGCTGGTAATCATGCCGGTTCCTATAACGTTTAGACGGTTAGAATAGAATCATTAATCGTATTCAACTCAAGTTGAAGTATGTGGCCAACATAAAAACTGTCTTGTGTGGTAACCATATGTGTGAATTTGCTCCATTGATTTGGGATATGCTGTCAGTTTTCGACTTCCAACCCGAAGGTTTGCGGTTTGACTCCGGTCAGGGACCGAACGAGTCCCAAACAAGACGAAACATTGGTCCGATGCTCTCTGCCGATAATCACAGATATTATCCAGTTCTTCCTTCACGAGCAGTGAATTGCATCCTCACATTATGCATTTGCATTTTGCGTCCGGAAGTCATTCAACGTGAGGAACACAACACTTATGGCTTGAATCAAAGAAGTCATTATGAGTTCCAGAGGTTTACGCAAACAAAAACAGTATGTTAGAAAGATATCAGGACTAAGTGAAAGTGAGCATACCTCAATTGAACTCCTACGCTTTAATTCTAGAGTACCATGCGTTAGCAAATAAGAGGTGGGGAAGTCTATAGATGAAGTAAGGATAGTGTACACCTTATTCGATAAGCTAATTTTTGTGCGTCATTTCGCTCAGTTACAAACGCATCTTGGCATTTAACGGTACGCATTAAAATTTCTCAGTATATGATGATGCTAAACGAACAGTCAATCAGATCAAGTATTTGTTCCAATAGGTTATCCTTTATGCGTTTTTCGGCATCTTTTAAAATATTGCATAGGTTTCTTCCACTTAAACAATAAAAATCGTCGGGGGTGGATCAAGTTGTGAGGTCGGGTGAAGGTGGAGTCCACGAATGATCTTGTTACATGGAGTGCATCAGTTCGCAGTCTGTATTGTTCCGTCGATTGTAGGAAAATATGCAGCATTCAGAGTATTGCAATGTGCAACCAGATTCGCTCTCTAAATGATCTGGACCAAAAAGATACTGGCCTATAATAGTCAGATGTTTTTTGAGTGAATACAAAACATTTGTTGGTTGCACTCCCCATTCGGTTCTTCTTACAATTCTCGGGCAATTTCTCCTATATATGTATATGTGAACGGAATGAAAAACGCATGTTCTGAACTGTGTATGCAACTGGCAGGTAATAATCGAAAAAATGCAATCTTCTTAAAACCCTGCAAGCAAACTGACCAAATATTTGTCGCAGTTCTGGTTTTTCACACTGGCTTTAAGCAGGACGCCAAATCCGCCAAGCAAACGAGACAGAAATAATCCAGTGGGTCTCAGTATTTTTACAGATACTTTTTCACGAGAAAAATACTCTTCATTTTTCAAAATTGACCTGATAGTTCTAAATGTGATATCAATGGAATTATAGGATGTGACATATCGCTGAATCAGTCCGGAGCTCTTTCTACGCACGTGACGAGGACGAAGTTCGATCAGACTTTTAAGATTGTTCAGATTGTTCAATTTATTTTCGTGCGTAGTTGGAACATGGGAAATCGAACTGTCAATGGTCACATGAAAAATCAAATCGTCGGATACTCGGTCAAATGTGGATTAATGACCTAGGACCAAAATTGGCTAAGGTGACTTCGATTAAAAGCCGATTTTGCCGACTAGGTTGCGTGAAAATACTAGCAAAACTAATTCGAGCATTGCCTTCCGTACTGAGCAGAAGTCTACCAGCTATCGGTCTGGCAAATGAAATTTCGCAGTCTACTCGTTCGTCTATTGTTTTTTCCACACAAAAGTGGTGAGGGGAAGATTTTTTTTAGAAGATTTCAAAATTCTTTATCTCAAACTAGGCTTTGCCCGAGTCGCATCGTTCATTTTTCGCATGTGTGTTTGTTGAAAGAGAAGACAAACAGTTTTATTGCCCAATTTAGCAACACAAACGACTGAAAAGTCAGTCTGTTGCATTACCAGATTCAAGAATAATTGATTTTCTAGCCAATATGTCCAATTCAGAAAGAACACTAAAAACCGCTTCATGTTTATGCACGTAAGTGCGCACTTGAAAGCGGGCGACTGTGGGTGCAATGAGGTAAAATTTATTCACGTTTCCCATTTTGCCTTCACGGGAAATGCGCATAAGTGCGAAATGATCGTGAATGGCTCTCTCAAAGACTAGAAACGTTCTTCCGACCAGTATTATGAGGGACGTTGGGGAGATGACAGAATTCACAAACAATTTGGATATCAAGCCGGATCGTGGACTGAATACTTCGTTCAAAAGCCGCACAGATGTATCTCAAATTCACTAAAGAATAACTGCGTATTACGAGAAAGAAAAGATTAATATCGGAATATGGGTTAACGCTCGGTGCTCTAATGCGCTTTCGGAAATGTGCCAAGCAAACCAGAGAACAGAACCAGTATATCTTGTGTCAAACATTCACAGACCCATGTTATACCGGAATTGATGTCTAATATATATTTACTGAATCGTTTGATGGCATCATACAAAATGCCGCAAGAAATCCGTAAATGTTCCGTTACTTGAGCCATATTCGTTTTTTCTCGAATGTGTTGGACTTTATTTCATAGTTTGTACCATGTTCTCGCGTCATGCTTATCCCATGACAGTTTTCTGGACAAAAAGATTTCATATTTTTGTTTATTATCTGCTAACATTCTGTTTACATATAAACACGCGGTACGTGCATAGAGAGCCATATCCAAATATAGCCCAGAAGATATTCTATTACACAAAAACGCCTCATTTACTTTTAGCGCGACAGAGCAGAAATCCAAGAGAAAAATGAGACATGGGGATAATGAACCAGATAAACTATGTGTAGTATGTTAATTTCAAATTGGTTTTGCCCAGTCCTCTATGTGTGGTAACAACGTTAGTGCTATAGGTAGACCATGGGGTTTTATATTTTTGATCTATAATTATCATTATCCTTTACATGTCACTTTTGGCCCGCATTCTCTTATCGGTTCGTTCCAAAGCGTGGTTTTCCTCTATAGTTTCCTTCTTGATGAGAACCTTAATTCATTTCTTGAGCGACTGTAAATCGACTAGTTCCTTTAATTTGACATAGATGTTATGCTGACCGGAGATGGTGCCACGGTGGACATGATGAATACCAAACATACGGATGTTTTCGCTTCCAAACTGAAAGCACCAATCTTTGTCGATATTCAGTGTCTCCTCTTAAGTGGGACCAATTCTCCCCACTAAATTAACCAAAGCTTTATTTCAATTACATAAATAAACATTCATAAATAGAAAAAAATTGAACAGTAATCGAGTTCTGGACAGCTGTTTTGTCCTGTTTGGGACTCCTTAGCAATGCGTACTTTTTTGTGTCCCTGTCTTCGCATTTGAATGCATTACCTCATGGGGAATTAACGATCTCCCAAGGAGTGACTTGTTTTCTGAATATAATGAATGATTACTATGTTTATTTACAAACATATTACGATGGTCATAACCTGGGGAGTACGAGGTGAATGAGTGTATCATTTGTACCAAAATACTAAAATCAGGAAATCCGCTGTTGGAAACTAGAGAAAAGATCAAACAACTGAGTACTTATTCCCAGATCAATATCTGGAAGTTGACTTGTAGTGCGAACTGCGACTATTTTGTGTTGGTAAAACATAAGATCAGTAGATCGGTCTGTTTGGGTCAAAGTCCTCGATGCTGTGTTGATGCATGCAACGTGCGATTGGCTGAGCTACACTCTCGTGCTTGTTCGTCACGTTGGTATTTATCGTTTGCCTCGTCCGTGTACCGGTGCAAATCATGTCCAGAATCTACACATATTCTCGCCAGGACATGCTACGACTGAAAACTGTGAATTATGTGCTACCCGCTAATTATTTGCTTGGTGTGAGTCATAAAAGTCCTTGGATCAAAAAGCGCAGACGGGTCGGATCACAGACTGCACTTGCTTGCACCCATGCTGCCAAAATGACTGTGCCATCATTGGTCAGCACCAACGTTTGCTCACTATTCACAAAGATCTCGGATTTAACCTCAATACTGAACACGCATTAATTCCAGCACGTGTTGTTTGTGTGCAAGAAACCTGGCTGAATCAAAACATTGAGGACGTTCTCGTGCTAATAGAAGAGTTTGATTGCTACCGGTAGAATAGACAGCGAAGTAAGAAAAAACGGAGGTGTGGCTACTCACATCAATGTTTCCTGGCGTGGAAAGTCAGACGTTATATATAACTATTCTGAAAAATGCACTGACTGTTTGTCTGTTCGTCGTCACCCTAAATTTTCTCGTCACAAAAGTACAATCATCACCAATGTGCAAATATCTCCTTCGTGTACTCGGACCGACATTTCTGCTTTCTTTGGTTCCTATATTCCGTTTCTAGTTTCATTATTAGATGAAAATCTTCACTTATTTGTTGGTGATTTCAATCATGAAAGCATTGCTCCCCTGCTTCCGTTTGGTCTGTCTGACCTTTCTCATTCTCCTACCAGAGGTAGTTCTGTGCTGG